GCTCCTGCTGAGCTGCTGCTGAGCACGCGGCCGCAGCTCGTGCTGAGCTCCTGCTGAGCAGGCGGCCTCAGGTGCTGATGAGCGGTGGTTGATGCTGGGGACTGATCGAGGACGGGAGGAGCTGCTTAAGAAGCCTGCAATAGCTTGGCGTAGACGTCTTCGTTTATAACAGACACGCATGCTCGGAAAACACATCTGAAAGGAATTATGTACAGTGCGTAAAATGCATCACAGAATTTCGATAGTGGGTCGCATTGCTTGTCCTTAAGAGAAAGGCATGAATTATCGGTAGCTGATGGCGACAAATCATTGTGCTGTATGTCATACGCGTCCTGAATTAGATATGCATCCCGATTTCAGAACGTTTGTTTTAATGCTACTGAAGTGTATCCGATGAATATGGTACAGGTTTATCACGTACTCATCGCTCCTGATGAACCGCTATAACTGTTGTGTCATTTGATGGCATGTCATTGTGTTGAGGTACTTCGATGCCCCTGAGGCTTTTATTTGTTACGTGGGCCGCAAAGAAAACTTACCAAAGTGTCGGCGCGAGCCACGTGTTTGTTACGTGCGCATCGGGCCACTCTGCAGGAGATTCTGAAGGCATTATGTTTCAGCGGGATGGTAGAAGATTGATTATGTAGTGCTACCGAGCTTTTACTCAAATAAAAGGGTGCTGGAGACAAACGTGTTTTAACACGCCCGGGCGGCCGGTTGGATACCCTTCGCTTGGGTGGGGTTCGGTTTGGCCCGCTGAGATACCATGAACTAAGAGGGATAGAGACACCAAATTCCCAGGGTATGCTTGCCTGTACGTAAATTCACTTGGGTCAAAGTTTGTTTGCGTACTCTAATTCTTAGATAGGCACTGTATCGTGTTAATGGCTGGCACTTGCTCCTTTTTAACCCCCTGAATGTTGGTGTCCTGTAAGAACTGTCGCTTGCCGTTTTAAAAAAAAACCTGAAAAATCGAGCAGGATCGTCAACAGGCAATTTTGAATTCGCTTCCGCTTTTGTATCGATAGGGGCATGTCGACGAAATATCAACCCAACCTTATCTCCATTCTCTTGCTTTTTTTCCGAGCAATAAGACTACTCTCTTATCGAAGTGTATAATGCTCCTCGCTATTGCAGTGAGCAACTTACGCAAGACTGCCTTGAGCTTTACATTTGAATCAGCGACAAAGATAATTCCTGTCAGCATGTTCCCAAAAAGCAACATGTTGACCCGCGTCATTTTAGGTCAGCGACCTACTCTGACCATAAATAAGTTCATGGAAGATGTCTAATGGGGTTCCTGCTATCAATAAATTTAAAATGGACACCAGAAGCTATCCCATACAGCAAGCCATAGAGAAATAAAGCAAGTTGGCATAATAATGAAGCAAAGAAATAAAGCAAGCAAAGCAAAGAAATAAAGCAATAAAGCAAATAAAGCAAATAAAGCGACCAGACGTCTTTCATAGCCAATGTCGGCCGGCCCGGTCCCCGCCCGCTCCGCCACAGAATACGGGCACGAAGCCAAGCTTCCTCATGGAATGCCGCCGGTCACGAAATGCGGTGTGCCGACCTGGCGCTACCGGTGCGCAACGCCGCCATCCCGGTGCTCCCACCAAGCGCGGGCGCCGGTCGCCGGCGCGGGGTCCGGCCGCTGCCAACCCGCTAAGAAACAAGCCGCCGGCCAGGTGCCCACTCCCGCCTGGCTAACACAACGGAAACGCTATCTGCAGCCGCCACGACACGGCACGGCACGCGGCACGGTGGGGCGGCGCCGAGTCGGGCCGGCCCGGGCGCTAGTCCCAGCCCTCCTCCGCCTCCAGGGTGGCCGGCTGCTGGTTGTAGCCGGTCGCCGAGCCGCCCATGCAACCGGCGCCGCCGCCGAACTGCGGGCGCACGAGCCAACAGTCAGTCAGATGCCGGGCGTCACCGGCCGGACGCGCCGTGACCTGAGCCGATCACACCACTACACCAGGCTGGCGAGTTCACATAAATCAATACGGGACAACGCGGCTGGAGCACAGCGGCGAAATCCAGGAGTAAACACTCGCGAGCCCCAAACTGACAGTCAGAGCTTCCTCGTCAGGACGATACTGCAACGTAGTTTCCGTTGCAGTGTAGGAAATGTGCGTTACCTTATCGGCAACGTTGCCAATTCTGGGGCACGAAATAATGTCGCAGGAGTAGAATTGACACTGGGTAGAACTTGGCTTCCGCACACGAGTCGTTTCTCTCGTCTGATCATCTAGCGGCCGCCGTTCCACTTAAGAATTATCCTGGGTAAGGAGTAACTGACATAAGCAGAGATAGCGCACAGTGTCGCAATGTTGCTCGCCACGAGTACCATGAATGCACCCTGTCGGCGCGTTCCTCCCGCCACCCCGCGCCAGTCACGTCCCCGCCGCACCGGCCAGACTCACCCCGTGCCGGATTGTCGCGTGACGCGTACGAGCCGCCGGCAGCGCCGCCGAAGTCGGCGCTGCCGGCGTCGCGCTGCAGGAAGTCGGGCACCTCCTGCTCGGCGCCGGCCAGAACCTTCACCAGGTCGGCGGCCAGCGCGCTGTCGTAGAAGCCGATGGCGCTGCCGGTGTTGCCAACGCGCCGATCCGGTGCACATAGTCGTCGATGGCCTTCAGCAGGTCGTAATTGACCACGCTGGCCACGTCCTTGATGTCTGGGGGAGGGGCGTCGGTTAGCCAGGGCTGCGCCGGGTCATGCGGATGCAGTGGGAACAGTATCAGGCATGTCGCAACAGTCTACTTAACATAACCAACAAAATAACAAACTACTACCAACGAATTAATCTCTGGTAAACGTTGTGCTAATGCAAACTGGATCAGGTTCATTGTTGGATCGGGGACTTTGCTTACCCCTGCTTACTTTTGTTCCGACCTTTTCTGACATTAACATGGATTAACTCCAAACGCAGGTACAATAATTGCTCATGGGAGGACACAACAGCTCGACCTCTGCTTGATGAAAATTTCGACGACGCCTGATCACGACGCGCCACACAACACGCCTGGCATCCAACCACGCAGCGTTCGCTTTCGGCCACGAGCGCACGAGCCCCGCCGACATGGACGGCCTCGGGGCGGCGGCCACTCACCGAGGCCGCGCGAGGCCACCGACGTGGCGATCAGCGTCGGCGTCTTGCCGTACTTGAAGTCAGCCAGCGCCTCCTCGCGCTCGCGCTGCAGCCGGTCGCCGTGGATGCTGGTGGTCGGGAAGCCGGCCTGACACAGGTGCGACGCGATGAAGTCGGCCACCCGCTTCGCCTCCACGAACACCTGGCGAGGGGCAGGCGAGGTCAGACGGCGGCACGGTCGCGCGGCGGCCGCGGCCTCACGGCTGAGGGTTGCCCATGGACCCGGTCCAGGTCGCGCTCGGTGCAGCAAAAGATAACGAGCGGTGGAAACATCACGGTTCGACTAGGCTCTAGCTTAATGCTTCAGCTTATGAAGGTCATATGCATTATTAGAGGAGGCTGACTACAGTCCGCGAAGAAATTTACTGAGCCTTAATGACAAGCTGAATATCCATAACTGCCGTTAACTAGCATTGGGCTGGCTTGAAATCAGCAGTGTTGAAGTTGTTTTGGTCTCACTAGCAGGATCTTAGCTCGGCTCGTACATTACCTCACGACAGCGACACGCGCGGGCGCGAGCGGCCAGATTACCACTGCTCCGTGGGTTCGGGCACGAGTCAGCTGATGATCCGTCAACTGGTCTGACGGGTCACATGACCCGGCGCCGGGAGGCCTATACCACAACAGAAATTGTTACATTTATGTTATCAATTCTTCTTAATAAAGAGATCTGCACATCATTAGAAGACATTACTAACATCGGCGAATGAAACGTCCGTAATGTACTCGGCATGGCCAAGTGCGCAGCGTCTCCCGTGTCGCCATCGCCACCCACATTGTCGCCTCCGGCGTGCCCCTTTCGCCATCGCCACCACCAGGTTCCCACAGGTAGCTGTAGTGAAATGAAGCACTGCTTAAAAACGCAAAACAGGGGAACCACAGATGAACATGACTGAAAGCTGCGGATTTATTTTCAACCCAACGACTATCATACAGATGGCAAACGCCATTTACAGGCTCGGAATTAATTGCTGATGCCTTATTAAATTCACACGTCCAGTAAGGTAGTAAGGTGCAGCATGTTTGGAATAACTCACGTCGTACTATAAAGATCTTTGAGATACGAGAACATTTGCATAGAAAAATGGGTTATAGCCTCTTCCTTATAGGCTAAGGCACCACTGTAAAACAATCATAGCCAAGTGCTGTACATACAAGCAGTGCTCCTGAATTTGTGTGCACGCCGCACGGTGCAAGGCTGTGTAGTCTAAACAGCACTCTGCTGCCTGAAGAAACAAATGGTTACCCTTTAGCAAGATGCAGGATGGTACACTTGACTGTTGGTGGGCCAGCCTTTCGCATCGCGCGTCGCAGGATCATGTACGTGCTGCTGGATACCACCAGCTTCTTGCTTGTTGCCGATCGTCGGGAACATAAACACAGTGTGAAATGGAAATTGTAATAGACTGTAGATGTGGAGTTAATACCTATGACGATGACTGCAACAACTAAGGTGGGGGACTTATTGGTAACTCCACTCTGGCTTTAGAGCACAGGAGCAAACAAGCTGCAGTAATGTTTTATACAGCATTGTCCATACAATACTACATGAAAGTGTGCAATTTTGCTAATAAGTCAGATTTCAGGCTGTTAGTCCCTTTAGTAATTTAGGTGTTTCATGTGGTCCTTTAAGTCCCTGTAGGTCTCACAAACGTCTTTGTGTTTGGCACGATATGGTCATTACAATACAATGTCAATAGCAATCTTCATTGCAAATTTAATCATCTTTATGCCATTACTTAATGCAGTTTGCAGTATAATTGTTGTGAAACAAATTCCAATCTCCTTGTTCAAGAAGTAAACTAACTTTGAAAATCCAACCCAAAAAGAAAACACTGACCCAGATTCTGGGCTTCGAGATGGTGTAGACACGGGAAGCACTGGGGTGCCTGTAACACCCTTCCTGTGCTGAAAACAATTCGGGACACCAATAATCAGAATCAGAAAGATTAACAATGAACAAAGCTGTCACACAATGTACAGGTCATAGGACAGCGCTTTGACATGTGCACTAAGTATATTGCAAAACAATGTTTTACTTACATCATATACATTTTGGTCAGAAATGACTGCGGCACACTGACATGCATGAATAAATAATGACTGAGAGGTCATGGAATTGAAAAAAACAAAAGGTGGTCATAGAAATGTCACATGTGTTCTAATTTCAAATGAGTTCAAGCCTGAATGTCACGGCTAAATATAAAGTGTCTGACAAAAAAATAAAGAAAGAAAGCATAGGCATTCACAGACCTGCAGAGAGGGCACAGCATTGGCCCCAAGCCTTTTCGTTTAGGCTGCCAGGCTGGAAAAGGCATGTGATGGAAAATGTGCCTGGCACACTCCATGCCCCGGCCTGACCCCACTGATACCACACACATGACGCCATTCCTGTTGGTGGCCTTGTTGTGCTGGGAATCTGAAAGGATCACAGGAATTGGGAGAATTGATTACTATACAATACAATGGGCATCTTCTACTTCAAATGAGTAATGCAAACTGAAAATATCTGTCCACAGGGTGTGCATTAATCACTGTGCAAAGTGGTGATACATCAAGAGTACAGACTACAGACATCTGGGTTCCAGAGCATGTCTGACACATCTTGAAATGCTTGTCATCCCAAAAATAAGTAATACAAGCTGAGGCCACACACCCATAAACTTTCCCAGCTGTGAGCATGGTGCATAACTGTCACCAAATCTAGTTAAGAGTAAGTAAATTTAGCTTTTTAAAAAAGTGGCAGCAGCATAGCAATACCCAAACAATAATGTCATTGCCGGAATATGACAGCTCAGAGCTCAGCCCAGTGCAAATCTGATTACGGCACAGAGTCCAGTGATAAGTTGAGCACACTGATGATTCCTGTAATCTGGAACAATGGAATAGTTTTTGACTGATATCCCTGATTCCGGCCTGATTGACAAAATTCACACTGTTCATGCAAGTTTATGCAGGTCATCTGTTTATGAAGTGGTTACATCGAATAGCCAAGGTGTAGCTCCATGACAGCAGCGAGATAGGTGGGCAATGGAAACAAGTACGATGATGATGATGATGATTTGGGCTTTAGGGAGTGCCAACTACATTGCTCATGTGACGCCCATAACTCACTGATGCAAACAGGTAAAAGTATTTGAACTTACTCAAAAACGTAATAAATCAGCTACTCGCCAATGTGCTATACAACGTCCTCCACCAACTTGGTCCTAGCCAATTACTCTCAAAATTAATAGTTTGTATGTTTCGTTTGTAGCAATCAAGTACATAAAGAAAACTATTTCTGAAATTGGTGGCAACCGTGAGCCCAGCTCCTGGCACTTGCACCCACTTTTCAGCTGCTGTATGCATCTGCTTTTTGAAGACGCTGTTTTATTTGTGAAGGCATTTTTGCCGGCATTTTTAAAGGCACTTTTGCCATTTTTGCGGGGCGCGTCCGGCCGGCAGATACTCTCGTAAAATTATCCGGAATATCGGAAATTTTTCGGAATGACGTTCGGCAGTGCCATAGCGAGGGAGAATCCCGGAGAATTCTCAGAGCATGGTCAAGACGGAGAATCTGTTTTCGCCAGCCATGACCGTTGGCTGTGAATGGCGCATGGGAAACTAATCTGGGGGATAATTTCCGGACCGATCGAGTGTAAATGGAACATCTCCATGGATGATTATCGAAGAGATTATTATTCGTTGAATAATTTTCGCTTGACCGGACGCGCCGTGATTGCATACTCATTCCTCAAACTGTGACAACAAGCGACCGCACCGCATGGAAAGCGACCGCACACCATACTCGAGGCTGCATGTCATATTGAGACGTGCATGCCCTGAACTTATTGCTGAGATGTCAGTGACACGATAGACATATTCGGCGTGAAGTATCTTTAACAGATTGGAAGCGAGGGTACTTACGCGAACACGGTCAAATTATTTTCTTTGTCCTGCGATCACCGCACACACAGCACCTTATGTCTGGCATCTACCACCGACGCAAAGAGGACACTGCCTGAGAGTGTGGGGGGGGGGGGGGGGGAAATGTCCTCTCGACAAATGCCGCAACCCGAAATTGCTCACACTTATGTTCGCGATACGTATTCAGCAGTACAATCTTGATAACAGCCAACCACCTTTCGCGCATTGTAACACATGTGCAGCATCATCGCATTTGCGAACGAATCAGCCGCCGTACGGTTTTTATCATAAACAAAACACAAACAAAAAAACAAACAATAATATCACGGGTATCTAATGGCGTTTCTATGGCGTCATTAATCAGAGGGCTATTTTGAAATAGGGGAATTATAAGGATTTTGACACTTTGCGGTCGTGTAACTCAGGAACCAAATCGTTTCGGGTCTTAAAAATGACATGACCGTTAACTGCATCAAAAGGTCGTCAAGATGGCTATTTCAGTTCAAAACGTCATACAAATGTGGAACATTCCCTTCGACGAAAGCTATCAGCCTACCGCAAACAGTCCCCGCGCCACTCTGTAAAGTATGTGCAAAGAAACCACAAAATATCAGTGAAGTGATGCATGTGCCAGGACATGACGGTGGGTCGTCCGCGCAGATGCAGGCTTCAGGATTCCCGTGGTTTGTGGTCAGCCAACTGGCTGCTGCGGCTTCCAAGTGGAGTCTGTGGCCTCCGGAGCTGCGGCCACAGAATACAAACCGGCCCACAAAATTTACAAATTAATAAAACATGTGGTGCCCCCCTAAAGCACGAACATCTGTGTTATCTCAGCGAATGTCTCTCTTTGTGTGAGGGACGGTCGGACTCGCCGAGCAGTTATCTGGTCGGGACAGTGGGACTCGCCGAAGGATTATATGGTCGGGACAGTGTCAAATGTCCCTGACGTCTGGGTGGAACATGACACTTTTTCATTGTTTTTATGCATTCTCACACTAGCTTTTCTTTCATCCTCTCCACCTCAACACCAGTAAAATCAATAAACATTTTTCTGGCTACACCATTAAGTGTTATTTAGAACTTGACAAAGGATTTGGCCCGTGGGTAACGTTTCCCACCTTTGGTGTGGGCAATGTTTGCATCATGCGATGCATTCAATGGCTACAATCTGAACTGATTTTCCAGGTGACCCAAAAGAAGAACCAGAGTCTATCCTTCATTATATCCTGCATCATGCAAAATGTCATCTCTAGGAAAAGGAGAAGGTGATGGCTACTCTCTGAAACTATCATGCTGTGCATCTCGCATGTCTTATCCTGTCTGTAATTGACCTGACCTGGTCTGTGCATCATGATATAATCCTAAGGCCCCATGCGTCCTCTTGTAATTTGTGGCGGTTTAAAATGAGCTACATGCCCACAGAACATGTATTTGCATCAGGCTCATATACAAAAACATACTAAAACTGAACGATATTTGATGACAATAATGCAGCAAGCATTGATAAATTCCATCAGCATGGAATGAGGCTGGAAGCTGCAACTTACATGCTTACTGCATATCCAACATCATTGAAATGTTCTATTACACCACACGGCCAGTGGTCATGGCGACACAATCACACCGCAAGGCAATGACAGGAGTGTTAATTATTTGGAGACAATTGCAACCAGTCAAAATGCAGTATAACCTCAAATGCGACTGTGATTAGACGCACCGGTCTATTTATAACATGCCTTGATTCGTCTACAACCCACCGATCTCCAGCTACGCTCAAACCCAAGCGATGTACAAAAATAAACAAATCGCGATCGTAACACGAGCGCCAGATTAGCCTCTGATATTTTCATCGTCACCGGCAGCGAGATGCCGATTGCCACCCTAGGGATGTCAATTGCCACCCTAGACGCGGCACTGGCTTGCGTCTGTCAGCAGGAACGGATGAAGTTCTTAGGCATATGAAACGATATCTGGAAGTTTGGTTAGGTAGTCCAGAAAACTTGAGTCAAAATGATTGTGCTTTCATATGTTCATTTGCCTTTCTCACCACATTACATTTATTCCATGCATTTTTGGCGGTTTCCGGCGTCATTTTCTCCAGATGGGTAGCGGCCCATTTTAAAGCTGCTCTTTGCGGCTTAGATGACCGAACGGAAGCCAACTTCAGCTGAAATACTAAAATTTTACCCAAATGATATACCACGGAGCATGAAAACCGTTTAAGTAGTGTTTTTGTCCTAACTTTTAATGCAATTGGGGATGTATCTATTTTCCATTCGTCACTGCTGCATTAAGGTCTCACCCAAAACTCCATCACAGGTTTTTTCGGCTATCTGACCGTCGTTTGTAAAAAAACTAGTGGTCAAAGAAAGCGCACCACTGTTATCTAAAAGTCTATGAAATATCAAGTTGATCTATGCGAGTTCCACATTGACTTAAGTATCGTGATGTCAAAAGGATGTGAATTGAGGATGCCGATTCGGTGATTTTTTTTGTTCAGCAGCACTGGATGCGACCGGGAAAAAAACGCGGGGCGCGCGTTGAACGGACGTATAGATTTGTGTGTAGTGCTGGATGGGTGAAGGTATAGCGTTTGATTCATTCAATGTGCACCTTGGATAACACAGCCCGGCAGGTGCCTGATGATCTCGATGATTTGGAAAACCAGATACAATGTATAGTGTCCACACATGACTGCCCAATAGTGATCGCCGGTGATTTAAACATCAACCTGATTGGCTCGAGCACAGGCACTGGCTATCAGAAATTGATGCAACTGTTGAGGTCTTACAATCCGCATATGTGTGACGATTCCTATCCAACGTGCCGTCCTGCTGGCTCGCTGTTGGATGTTACGATCACAAATCACAAGGACCTTATCCAGCGCTGTGGTGTCACCGCCTGTCACTATAGTCCGCATGACTTCACGCGAATGTTGCTGAAAGTATCGAAAGAGAAACACCAAATCAATGTCATCACATCCCGCTGCCTGAACCTAGTTGATTTTGATTCTTTCAATGATTTGCTTGTGAACGTCGACTGGTCTCTGGTCTATGCAAGTGCGACGACGTCTGAGAAGTGGGACTCTTTTCTAGGAGTGTTCACACCCCATCTGAATGCCGTCGCGCCTGTCTGGCGCATTAAACTGCGCAATCAATCCACCCTGCCTGTCTCAGCCGATACGCGTGTGTTGGTGGTTCGTCGCCGCGTCGCTCTAGCGTGCTGTTCGCGTGCTGAGTACAAGGCACTCAATAAGCAGACACGGGCAGTTATTAGACGGGACTGTAGCGATCATACCAGGAAGCAGATTTCCGAGGCAGGTCACTCCGGCATGTGGCGGTGCGTTAAATCGATCATTGGCAGTAAACAGGGTGCGTCGGCCACACCTAACATTCATACTGATACTCTGAATGACTGCTTCGTGAAGGTAGGGCCTACGACTGCCGCCAGCGGGCCGAACCGAGGCACGGCTTTGCCAGTCAGGCCCCCCGAGTTATGACCTTCTCATTTAAGGTGCGTCCTGTGTCATGCGATGAGCTGCTTGCAGCTATGTCTACGATGAACCCGACGACGTCCTGTGGCCTAGATGATCTTAGTACGCAGCTCTTACAGAAGTCTTTTCGTGGTGTCGGCTGTCCCCTACTTGACGTCGTCAATAGCAGTCTCATTGACGAAACGGTGCCCAGCGCCTGGAAACACGCTCTTGTCACAGCGCTCCCGAAAACCAATGATTTGAACGATCCTACCCAGTTTAGACCAATATCTGTAGTGCCAGCGATAGCAAAGATAGTCGAGCGTATTGTTCATCATCAACTTAGTTCATATTTTAACGAGCATGATTTATTTTTGCATACACAACACGGATTTCTTACGAATTTTTCAACAGAGACCGCACTTACTGTAGTGGCTGATGAAATACTCACCGCGATTGATGCTGGGGAGATCGCTCTGCTTGTTTTGATAGATCTGTGAGAATGTTTTGACGTTTTGGACCACCAGCTTCTCTTATCGAAGCCTAAGATATACAATATTGACACAAAATGGTTTGAAAGCTACCTTTGCGGGCATACCCAACAGGTTCAGGTCAGATATTCTTCAGGCATACTGCGCGCTTTCATACTGCCGAATGGGATGAGGGTATTTCAGGGTACCGCCCTCGGGCGGCTCCTATCTTCCATTTTCTCGAACGATTTAGCGTTATGTTCAGAAGGTGCTACAATTATACAATATGCCGATGACACACAGATTTTGGGTACTGGAGAAAAAGGAAACGCAACAGCTTGTTGCAACCTTGGAGAGTACCTTGTCACTTGTATTCGACTGGTTTAACAACCACTCTATGAAAGTCAATACAACAAAAACACAGTTAATGGTTTTCGGGACGAAGGCTGTGCTGCGTCATATGCCTCCTGTGCATGTCAAGTTCGGGTCAGCTGTCATCGCCGAAAACAGCTCTGTCAAAAACCTTGGTGTGGCGATGGACAGAAATCTCACATTTGAACCGCACATTGATCAGCCTGTTACTAGGTCGATGGGCGCTCTGATGGCCCTGTCCCATGCCAAGCATGTACTCCCAAGAGACACCCTCGTTTACATGGTCAGAGCTCTAGTTCTTTCCTCCATTAGATACTGTATAACACTGTGTGGTACTCACGGAGCAACCTAGTTCCATCGCGTGCAAAAACTCGTGAACTTCTGTGCGCGGGTTGGGAGCGGAAGGAGAAGGTGTGACCATACATCGGATGTTGTCAGGGATATACGATGGCTTAGTGCTGATCAGCTCGTCAGATATCATAAGTTGTGCCTGCTCAAAAAAGTCTTACTCACGGGTCAGCCACCAGATATAGCCGCGATGTCCACACGTGCTGAGCACACTCATGAAACGCGGAAGGCTAACCAGCTGAGCCGTCCCCGAGCGGTGAGCAACTTTGGCACTCGCCGATTTAGCTACAGAGCATCGGATCTGTTTATCTGCCTGCCGCCCGACTTGCGCAACGTTCAGAGTCTAGGTCGCTTCAAGCGCCAACTTAAGGAGTTTCTAATGAGTCAGGCGAACGTTGGCACATGAGTGGGTGCGTGTGTGAAT